AGTTGAGGGCAGAAATAGAATTTAATAACAAAACTAACTTTAGCAAAAAAAATCTTAAACAACACAACCCTCGGTAAATTAAAAAGTGGAGGTCGCCATTTTGACAACGAAATCACGATACCCGGTTTTCGGCACTTCCCGGATCATACCTAAGTCCCTATTAACTTAACTTACTAAGGCTAAGGCCAAGGCCTAGCCTAATATAAACAAAGCAAAAATTCAATCAATAATTGATATCTTACCAAAGACGTAGCGGTGCCTTTATTTAGTTTAGCTTTCTCTAGCGAATAGGATGATCTCTTCCTAACTTTTGATCTATTATAATGCGATAGGACAGTCATGTTTAAATACTACAGATAAAAACCGTTTTTAAAATGTGATGAGCTCTCTTGTAAAAAGAAACATTGTTGGTTAAAGTAATAAAAATTATGAAAATAAAAATTTTAATAACACTGTAAAAGAAACGAAACGTTTGAAACACCCCCCCCCCTTTTTTATGAAAAAGAAATACAAATTATGGTTGGGGGCGTCCATTAATTATGTCGAAATTTTTTAAGCAATTTTGATCCCTTCCCCCCATGTCAACAACTGTCAAACTTTCAATGACCCACTCCCTAAGTAATTATGTCAACATTTTTATAACCCCCCACCTTTTTAAAAATGAATTATAATATGAAATAAATAAATAAATACATTTTACTTTGTGCTGATTTATTTTAATGACACAAAATTTTAGGAAAATAGTTACTGCATCTTTAGCTTGTTAATCAACAAGTAATTTTAGCTTCCATTTCTTAAGTATTTTTTTCTTTTGAATTGAAGTTAAGTTTCGCAAATTTACACAATGGGTGAGGGTCGTAACGCTAAGGTGAACAAAAAAAATCTTTTGAAATTTCATGACAACACCTCTGTAGATTAGTCTGTGTTTTGGGCCTATTTTTATATTATAGCTCTGCGTTCCCAACGGCAAACAGTAGCTTTAAATTAGTTAAGCTTTGGCTTGTGCCACCCCGGATGGGCCACGATTTTTCCGCCTCCAACCCACGAAAAAACTCGGAAGTTGGCAGAAAATGCCAACCTCTCTCTGCCCATCCAGTTTCATCGAATTTAAACTAGATATCTTGTTCTTTTCGCACCCCATGACACTGTCTCCCACATTCCCAGGGGGTGCTACAGGCAACCCTGGTTAAGATTAGAATCCCTGGACTCAAGACTAAGTTATAAACACACACAGAGGCATAATAATTATACTTACATGGTTCACATAATTATTGTATGGCAGCAACCTGTAGTATTGGAAATTTAACACAAATAGCAAACTCACCTTCGACTGTACAGTTGTGGATCAACAGTGTTGTAAGTTTATAAGTATCCACATTCTAGTGTCGTAACACCTTTATGGACATATTCTAACGATTAAATACACTACATCTTACCGCACACACTGACTCTTCGTGCTTGCTTTTATTTACGTATTCCAATAATAAGATATCTAACCGCATGTTCCTTCTCTAGTAAAAACAATCAGAACGTTTTCGATTTAACATCAATTGATTAAACGTCTATTTCAAGGGGCTAGGCGCTAAAATTCCATATTTTTGCTTTTGAAACAAATAACCGGTTGTTGATTATTACAAAAAGTCAATGGAATTCATTCATCATTAGGCCTACATATTATTATTTTGTTGTTGTTGTAAATGAGATATTTTAATAATATTATTTATTTAAAAAACAACATGCTAGTGCAATATAGAAAGAAGTATTAAAAAGTTAGGCCAATCGCTTCGCGAGACAGTTTACAGACTATAGCAAACGCTAGGTCGGACAGCTGATGTATATAAACAATGGAGACTGAAACATAGTTGGTGGGGTGTTGTTGGGAATGGAGGGAGCGATTGAGAGACATGGAATGGAATCAGAAATCACTTCTCGTAGACTGCTATATTTTACACTGCTGTGTGAACACTGAACACGTTTGTGTAGGTACAGATGGCATTCATAGCAGTCGCTCAATAATGATGCAGACGTTAGGAACTACTAAGCGCTGCACGACTGCTGGTACTAGTACAAAATTGAGCTATGAAACTGAGGGAGAGTTCTAACAATAGACTTCATCTGCCACTAATAATTTAATAATAGGTCATCTTACCGTGTTGTGTAGAAAAGTTGAGAGCATATGTCGCATCGGTTTGCCAATAAAATAAAAAATTCCTTTTGTGTTATACTCATTTTGCTGGGGGGGGGGGAGATTCCTGAAAGAAACCCTGATGGAGAGGAGAGGGGCACTAACGCTAAGCTCATAAATGACACAGAAGTGGTCTGAGGACAGCTCCCGGGGAATGGAGGCAGAAGTAACTACACCATCCTGAGGTTGACAATTTACAAGGATTCATATATCATATAGGTGCTTATCTGAATTTCGTTTTGCATTACTCTACACTTAATCGAAGCGCAACAAAAGAAATGCTATTTTTATAAAATATTAATTTTAACTACCAGGTATTTTAAAACTATTAGACAATTTAATTTGTTTAAATTTCAAATAAGTTTTATTAAAAGGTGATGAAATTGCATTGACTGAAATGAATGTGTGGACTGAGCAGATAGTAAAGGAGCTGGAGCAGACGTCACCAACTTTTCTGGAGTATGAATGCCATACATCGACCAGGCAGCACTGACAGAGATGCTTTTGGCAGTCAAAAACATACATTACCTTAATTGTGCAACAATCAAGACGTGTGTGTGTAATATATAAAATCTTGTCCACTGAAATGAAATCTATTGAGTTTATGAATAGATTTCTTTTGATGGCTGAACACTCAAATACAAAAGTTAAAAAAAGATGTATTGTGGACAAATGGATGGAAGACAGATCTCTTAGAATCCCACATGGAAACAAATATTTGATAAATACATCTTGAATAAAATCCTAATGATGATTTTTTGATGAATGAATGTCAAGAATATCCAAAAGAAAAGAGGGATAGCATATCTAATGTTATTTTCATTACCTGTTTTTAGCCCGATTTTCAGCACAGATCAAATTACACTTATCTAGAGTGAAGGTTTTTTAAAAATAATACTATCCACTGCACTAATTTATGATGAATGACATTGAAATCTAATGAGTGTTTTTCTACAGGCTGATATAAAACATTCAGGGAGGGAGTTGGGAAGCTAAAAATAGATATTAAAAATACCAATCAAAATAAAGACTTGTATCAGACTGACCACATAAATGCAGTAGATTAAACTAAAAAAAAAAAAATTAAGGCCTGGTAAATCTTGGGTTGATATTTTCTAGTTTTTGTTCTTGAAAAACTGCTGTGTTGGAATTAAAAAAAAAAAAAAAAAAA